CCAGTTCATGGCACGCAGTTGCCTAATGTGGGTTCGCTGTCCTCAACCTTGATGGGGATTGACGGCCTGTTAGCTATTCAGTGACCCAACTAGCGGATGATTTGGCTAGGGCCTAGGGACATTTCATTTACCCTATAAGTGTAAGAACAAACGAAGGTAGTTGGAGGCTTTCTCTCTCTTACTTGATTCTGAAATCTTCGGAACTTACAGAGCTTCGGTCAACCTAAGAAAAAGTAAAATGGAGGAAATTGAATAGTTATGGCAAACTCATGGGAATTTAGTTGGAATTCTTTAACCAACAACTTTCTTACTTTACTGACGCGTGGTAGTTCGAGATGAAATGTCCCTCACAGTTCCTTAATAATATACTAACGATTGCGCTTCTCGAGTATTTTGCTAAAAAGGTTCGAAAACGATTTTAACCGATGCTCGGAGTAGTCATGCAGATGAATCGACTGGAAGTGATAACGATTGTGTGTATAACGTAACAGAGACCGGTAAGATACCAAATTTTAGGAGATATTCACAGATTAAAAGAATTTTCCACTTTTTTTCCATGTGATCTTGAGTTTATTCTATTTCTCTAGTCAATTAGTCTATAACACGTGATCGACTTGTACATACTTTAATTTTAACACCAAACCGGGTGGAAGTGATTTTCGTCAGAAATACCTCACCCCATCACCGCGGTTCGTCAAAGAACGGGAAAACTTAATGTTTGTAAAATTAAAAACACTGAGTTCGGCGAAATTATATTTTTTCGACAAATTCGTCAATAATTACGATCGTTTATACATGGAAATTTTGAATTATTTGTTTCCTGATGACATGCAGTCAATCGTTAGCTAAGAATGTCTTAATAATGAAGATGCTGCACATATTCAGAGTTCGACAACGCCTTTATACTTAACAACTTAATAATCAAGTTATGCCAACACTGTGAAATAAAAAGTCAGAAGTGAAGTGTTCCGAAGACAAAGTTAGAAGGCTTCCGAATTGTCGAGAAGCTTTATGGTCTAGGCTGGTTTGTAGTTGAAAAAGGTGCGTAACCGATAGCTTTCAGCTAGATTTGTCCAGCAAGACCAGTGAGGTTAGCGTCAATGGAGAGGGCCTATAGAACTGTTAATTTTGAAAATTTATTTACCGATACAATGATGTCAAAACATTCTAGCCCAAGTACGTATCTACATGTCGGCTAACTTGATTCTTTGAGCTATAGTACTGATGTCATAAATTTTCAAATAATCTGGCTCAAAGAATCAAGTACGCCGACATGTGGATTTTTTATTATTGTTAGCTTTATTCAATATTATATTTTTGGTACAATGTGGAATTCTCAGAACAAAGTATTTCAACAATTTTCCGTTTCTCACTTCTTGGTCGATACTAAAGATAAATATTGAGCGATCGTCAGTGTTACGGGAGAACTAAAGACATTTGATTGAATAAAACCTTTATGTTAACTGTTAATAATATCACTGTGTTTTTGGGATGTATTTGTTTTACTCAACTTCTAAACTTGTTTGTTCATATCATTATTTTTGGACATTTTTGTTTCTCTTTATCTTTGGTTTGGTATTTGGGGGGTTTCGCTCCGGGAACCTACAAAATTGAAGGTTTGTTATGTAATTGTTATAATTATTGTTGTTAGAAAGACATTTGGGTCGACTATTTGTAAATTGCAAATAAACTTTGGTACCTAAATTGGAGTTTGGTCCTATTGTTAATTTGGGTTCGTAAACTGCAAATAGATCGATATACCGTACTTCAATAACGAAAGGAGCAAAAACTTGGACGTAACAGTCAGTTAGATGTTAGCTGTCCAGTGAATCGACATCGAAATAATGAGCAATAATGCTTGCTGCACAAAAAAATCTTTTACACAGTCCACAATTTTTCGAACAGTTTTATAATGACTATCATACTACCTGTTTTCCAAGATTCATGGACATTTCGTTTAAAGTCCGATAAATTGATATCCCGACCGAGCTCGAAAATTGAAGTCTTTTCTAACGGGGATGAGAAAGTGGCCTTTGCTGCTAATAATAATTCAGATTTGTGTAGTAAGCACAGAAGGCCTATAGCCTATGTTATTCCTTTCCTGGAATGCTTCTGATAACTTGTTGAATAATTAGATGGCAGAAACAGGTAGCCTAGAGATTTAGGCAGGTCGCCGGGAAAATAATTCGGTAATTCGGGAAACGATTTGTCGGATTCAGATTTGTGTAGTAAGAACAGTAGGCCTACACTTTATGTTATTCCTTTTGTAGTATGCTTCTGTGAGTGTCTAGCCTTCTCATGAATGAGTTAATTGAAGATGCGGACAACACTGCCTCGGTTAGCAAGTCCCAAGACTTGATGACTCGGTATAAAAGCCTGTATGCTACGGATATTTTGTTCGTTCTTGACATGTTTGCTCAAATGCTGTGTCCTCTGAGATGTAACAATCTAGTGGGAAGAAAAAGAGAGAATAAGTTATGTTCAAAATCATTTCTCAGCATTCTGTGCATCGAAATTAGACCTCCTCTTTTGTCTGCGATAGGACAGAGTAAAGAGGTCCAGCTTTTCAAGCCGTTCCTTGTATAGTGAACCCATGAGTTCTGAATTTGCATGGGTAGCTGGCATCTGTACTTTTCAAGGACATCCTCATCTATCATAGAATCGATCTTTGATGTCGTCGTTGCTATCATTGATGGGTGCATAACATTGGATAATGTTCATTGTGATCCCCTCCTTCTTTATTTTGAATGATGCTTTGATGATTCTAGATCCGCGAGATTTCCATCCTACAAGTTCATTTCGTGCTACTTTGGACAGCATTAGAGCAACTCCCTGAATGTGTGGAGCATTTTCCTCTTCGTGACCGGAATACTTCAGCATCTCTCCCGTATTTAGCCTTTGTTGTCCAGCTCGGGTCCAGTAGATTTCGCTGATTCTGAGTACTGCCAAGTTGTATCTCCTCAGTTACGTTGCTGCTTGACTAGTCATCTCGGTCTCCCACATGGTCTGGACGTCCTAGGTACCTAAAATAATTGTTGCTCTGGTTGTTAGAAGGGACATCGGCCTCATGGCTTCCGAAGGAACTCAGCTTTCACCATGAGGCTTCATATTTCATCTAAATGAAGACCTTTTAACTCCAAGGGCAGAGTTTAAATGGTTTGAGTTATTTTTGCTGGTTAGTGTTTTTCTAGCGAGTGAGTTTTCTACGTGATGCAGATTCTAACCTTATGCCCAATCCTCCTCCTTTACCCGGTCTTGGGATTGGCAGTAACTCTAGAAGAGCTACAGGCGGAGTTCTCCAGATGAAGCACTTGAAATTTATTCTTAATTTCTGTCTACGAGCTACTAGGAAGTCCTAAGGCCACTTTAAAAGAGGTCCAGTAATACTCAGATTTTCTAACTTCAATAGCAGTGTATTTGTTGGTACCTTGTCAAAAGCCTTATTGAGTTCTATGTGGACAACATGCACTGAGTTTCCGTTGTCTAGCGCCTTCATCCAACATTCCCTTGCTATAAGAAAGTTCGTTGTACAAGACAAACCTTTTCTAAAACCATGTTGCTTGCTGTTTAGAAGGTTCTTGGCTTCTACATATGTCATTATGGTCATTTTGACCATTCTCTGCATATTTTAACTACAACACTGGTGAGGCTTACAAGTCTATAGTTCGATGGAAGTTATCTTGGTCGTGGACGTGACGATTGTGTCCTTCTAGTTCATAGGTAGCACACCTTGGTCAAGTGACATATTGAATATCACAGTCAGAGTGGCCGCGATATATTGTGCAATATATCTCAAGGTTCTGGGGTGTAGCTCATTTATTCTTGATGAATTTTCCATGTCTAAGGTGATAACAGCCTTAAGTACATCGTCTTGATTGAAGTTTACGGTGAGCAGGTAGTTTGTTGACTCTGTATTTGGGTCTGGTTCTTTGTCTAGAAGAGGTTCCTGACTGAAAACTGCCCCAAAATGGTCGGCCATAGCCTCTACTTTTTCCTGTTCTTCCTCTGTTATTTTAGATTCATTCCCTTCTTTGATTAGGTTGGAAATCTAATGATGCATTCCCGTTATGTATTTCATGTACGAAAATATTCTCTTAGGCTGCTTGAATGCAAATTGTGCCAACTGCATTCCATATTTTCTTTGGGCTTCCCGATTTCAATTATACACGCGTTTCCAACTGATCTGTAGCGTCCCATCGTACCTACTACGCAGAGGCTGATAGCAACGTTCCAACATTTCTTCTTTTGTCTTAGTAAATGTCGAATGTCCCGGCATATCCAAAATTGATCGTGCTTCTACTACGGGACTGTTAGGGATACATATGGTTAAGTTACCTGATTGTATGACTGCCTGAAATGAGTCCATGCTCCCTCTACTGATACTACTCAGTCAGTTATCCAGTTTACAGCCGGTGCTACAGAGCTTACTGCCTGCATGTCTGCTTTCTATATATCAGATAGGCGCAACAGTTTGACAGGTCGTTTCAGCCAAGAACTTGAATAAGCTGACTGCATGATAACTTCTCCCTACAGGCGGTAATAAAGTCACTTGACCGACATCGTCACAGTGTGTGTAGGCAAAATTGAGGAGAGACGAGAAGCTTCGTAATTCGCATCTGCTGGGATCTCTAACGTGCTGTAATAAAGCTAAAGCAATTCAGGTTTCCAACAGTTTGCAATCAAATGACGCTATCGATGACCCTACTTCTAAGTTCAACCAGTATATGTACGGTGTATCAAGGCACTTCCTTTTATTACCCCAAGACTTAAGCCTGCTTAGGGAGAAGTCATATACTACACATTTAGACTGCGGTATACTACAACTAATACAGTGTGTCATCGTTCACACTTCAGCCTTCAACAACACACCAGTTCACATGCCCCTGAATCATGTCTCACTGTTTCAACAGCTCATATAGTTAAGTTACTTTCTGCTCCCAGGATAACATACCTTTTGTTTTATTACACTATTTAACATCAACTTTCAAATGCTCCGCTTTCCAAATATCAATTTGGTTATCGCTTGGAAAAGAAACAGAAATGCCTTTATCATCAAAGAATGATTTTATATTTTAGTACATATATCCTATTTCCGATTGTTTTTTTGAGAGGTAAGTCATAGAACCGATAACCATTATCTATAGTTTTAGCCTACACAGATGACTTGATCGACATAACATTTGGTCAACGAGATTCTGCTTTTCTAATCAGTGACAATCAAAGCCTTAAATATAATTCTTCAACATTTTTCGCATCAGCAAGCAACTTGGACCGTTATGAGATCGATGCATCCATAGGATTTTTGCATAGTTCTTTAACTGTCTTGGGTGATAAGCTTATCAAAAATTCAAAATTTCATGTGACTGTACATACTTTTGATACAGAGATAGGCGAAGAAACAAAAACATTGCACTTTCTATGTCATGCAAGCTACTACGGTAAAGTCGGTGACTTAGGATTTGATCTGAGCAGTTTGTGTTGTATTATATCCATAAATGCTTCGTACTTTAACGAATTGACATCTTGTGTTATAGTCATCGACCATGTTAGTAAAAACTGGATATGCCATGCATCAATTCAACTTCCACAAGCTCTTTGGAAGCAGAACCAGTCGCCAGAAGTTACTCTTGCATATGCGTCATCGGGTTTTATTTCGAATCTGGACAACGTCGAACAACAACATGACAATCAGGATAATTTTAAGCGCTGTCACTTGTCACTAAATCATGTCAAGTTATCGTTTGTTTCTATTCCATCAGTTAACATTGCACATACCGTCCCGGATGCTATTCGTGAATTAGGAAGAAGTTTATTGTTACAGATCCCGAGAAGGGAATTAAAAACAAATGAGGAATTTTTGGTAACTGTTCGTCTGAAACGTTTTGACGATGTTTCGGATTTTACTTTGAGGTATGTAAAGTTGAGAAAGCCTTCTTTTTTACGTTTCTGTTAGGCTTAGTAGATTTGTGTACGTTCTAACTTATTACACCTAATTATTTTTAAAGAAAACTCTTGGCTCAACATTTGTCTCGAAACACAGTGAATGCTATTAGATATAGCTGTTCAGTACATAGGTATATGTCGTAAAGTTTTTAGAATATTTTCTTTGCTTCTAAAGCCCATTATGTGATCAGACCAAACTATAAATAGGACAATCATTTATAAATATATAACACCCCAGCTATTTTGTTTTCTACGGTTATGTAACGGTTATGATCAATAAAAGAAAAAAGCAACTTGATTCCTGGTAATTAAATCGTATTTTATCATAATATTGCGAATGCTTAATCATCATGAAATTCGGAACTCTTTGAACTTAAAGAGTTATGGCCTCATCTTGTTTTGCCATACTTTCAAATAAAAATGAACTGAAAATGAAGTGCATATATTGGTCTAAGGAATAACTATGCTCACGAGAAGTTTTGGAGGTATTTTATGAGTAAAGTAGTTTGATTAAAATTTGTATGTACTTGTTTAAGTCTGCCGTTTTAGTTGCTTAGATTTCTTAGAAAAACTAAATATTTGTTTCACTATTCATTTGAAATGCCACATAGATAAGTTTTAATAATTCCTTCATTGATACTACATTTTGCAAGCTTATATTTTTATGCTGAAATAGCTCCACAAGCCTGCGAACACTTCATCACTAGTAATACATCATCATAGTCACAAAAGTTTATATGGCTAAGGCCACTACTATATTATAACTGAATTTCCAAGAAATGCAGAAGTCTTAAACATACTCAATACTTTTACTGCATAGCTGAGGTACAACTGATTTTCAGATATAAGTTTGCTTTAGTCAGTGATGTCAAGATATTACCCAGTTGTTTAGGGCATATACATAAAAAGTGTTTGTTCTGTTCATGGAGTTTTAAACGCATTTATCATCACGTAAGATACAGTACTAAATCAACCAAAGTTGTATCAAAAAAGAATGTAATGTTACTATTTATTGAGATGGTATGGTATTATGGTATGTTGAATAATGTATTAAACAGTCACGGGTTATTTTATTGTTAAATGACATAAATAATTAAGCCGAACTCTGAAGTATTTTGCTTATACAGGGATATGAAAGTTCTTCATTAGCAATTTAAACATTATAAAATCTTACAGTTACTACCCAAACAACAGAAAAATAATCTAAATGCATAATAAAAGGAACTATTCATGATACAACAATGCATAATGCATAAACTTTATAATTATATCTTGTTTAAATAAGATAAAACTTGAATATCTCTGGTGATTGCATCTTATATATACATAGAATTCTGGATATTCTGCCTCTATAAACAATTCGTAGTTTAGAAGTCGAATAGTCTACTATCAGCTGGAAGATTCAACTATTTAGAAACATAAAATCTTTCATTTATTAATTTAAATCATTCCACACACAAAAATATTATGCGATTCAAAAAATTCTGTCTGTATAAAATCTCAAAGTAAATAAACAATATAAAATCATGTTCTTACAGTGACTAATGTTTGTAAAAGTAGCCATAACTTAAAACCGATTCACTTAGTGTTGTTTTACTTGTATCTTCCCATTGTTATTTAGGACCGCAATTGATCAGTCCTTTGTTGGCACATATGTATCCGGTGTAGATTGCGTCAATATAGCCCTAGCTCACAAGCCTTTTAAACAAAGATGGATAGTGCCTAGCAGTGGAATCTCGTTTGATGCGCGTTTTGTCCTATTTCAGACTCTTCAGCTGGACGTACCTGTATCCCACAGTTAACATTCACTATGGAACTCGAACCCAGTACCGTTCGTTTCAAACTCCATCGTGTTATCTACTTGGAAAGTTGCAAGTTAAATAACACCAAGTGAATTTAAACTTCACCCCACTACACAAGCAGGTGGCTATTAGAACTTAGTAACTAAGTGGATAATGTGATGCCATTTGAAACCAACTGTAATGGGTTCGAGTCTTAGAATAAAAATCAACCCTCAGGTACAGGTACATCCAGTTGACGAGTCTCAAACAGGACGAAACGCACATCAAACGAGATTCCAATGCTATCCACTATTCATCTTTGTTTAACAAATTAAAACAGTTTGAAAAAATATAATTAACAATGATAATGAAATACATGTCATTGGATAGAATAAAAATAGAAGGAAATAAATAAATTTATAAGTAGTCACTTTATTCAAATGTTTACTTATATTTAAAAAGCTTAAAAATGAATTTAAATATACAATGTAACAATATTCAATGTTTAATTTTAGTTCAATCATAATTATATTTATGCTGTTTAATACCAAACAATAGAACATTAGTTTCACAATAAAATGCTCAAAGTTATTTAAACTTAAATTACTGAAAAAACCGATTGGATGAGACCATAATTTATGGATGACCTTTGAGCGACATTACAGTGACCTTGAGAGTGTTCAGCTAATAACTAGAATCAAATAAGGATTATAAACCTGTATGAGGATTTTGAATTGTGATTTATGGTTGACGGTTAAGGTTAGGATTTATATTTAGGGTTTTCATCACGAACTGATATTAGTCATAATACCAAAACTGTATTTAGCCAAATGGATGAGTGAATTTCGCGCCAAAATCTGAAACCTGTTATCTTATACCTGATTGGTTCGTCCATAAATTAGAGTCTCACCAACGATTGTTTTTGAAAAGAAAATAATTTTCTTCTATTATTATTAGACATGAAGTGTTATCTTAAATCAGTGACATTTATGAACTTCCATATATAGAATTTTAATACATCTCTTCATATAATTTACTTCTAGATGAAATATTTATGATATAAAATATATTCCGGTTAGGAAATGTTTCAAGATTTATTTGTAAAGGTTGATATTTTCTTGTTGTTGGTGTTAATGACCGTATTTATTCATATATTTACACCCTTTACAAATAAATTTTTATGCATGTTGCTATAAGGTGATGACTATTTGGAATCAGTTACTTAGTAGGTAACGCGAGAGATATCGAGTTCGATTCTAATTGTGAATATTAGAACTGGCATGTAGGTACGCCTAATTGATAAGTTTCGAATATAATGGAATGAGAAGGCTGGATGCCATTGCTAGTCACACTTCAACTTTATGAAAAAAATTGTCACTAAATTGAAATATCAAAATCATCCTGTCAGGATATACACATATCAATAGACACAGATCAGTTGCCGTTCTTAGCATCAATAACAAGAAAATAAAAAACCACTGTAGAAAAATTTAACTCTCAATGTACGCATTAAAACAATATCAGATTGGACATTATTTGGAAAAATTAAGAACGAAAATTCAGTTCTTAGCAGTTTGCAAATACTACTTCAATAAGTAGTTTTAGATCTAACAGTGTGAAATTTTAAGTAGAGATGGATAGTGGCTAGCAGTATAATCCAAGATGCGCGTTTCGTTCTATTTGGGACTTTTTAGGAGGATGTGTCTACATCCCAGAGTTGATATTTACTGCAGAACTGATCAACTGCAGTCCTAAACATCAATGGGTAGATTCAAACAACCATTATAAAAATGAATGCTGACTTTAGTTTGTTCAATGAAATACTATTCGCTAGTTATATTTTATAGATAGTCTAATGCAGGAACTTTATTTGCTCTATGCACTGAAGTTTAGTAACATTAAATATGATATGACGTTAGACAGTAGTATTCCGTTTAATTTTATCCAAAATTCTTTAAATAGCAGGCAGAAGATTTATATAACACATGCATATACTTCAATCATTCACTTGAATCTTTCAGTGTGTTCTATAATCTGAACTGCCTTCTCTCCTGGTCTCCAAGTGTTCTGCCTAAGCCGTCTTATCACTATATTGATCTTCTTCTTTCTATTTGATAACTGTTGCAACTCCAACCACACAGTTCGCTGCATACAACTTATGAGCAATCTTGTGACTAACATCCACAACAATATTTCTATATATTCGTTTTGTTGCTATTGTTACTTTGAAGATTTGATGTAAGACAGATTCTAATTCTAATAAACTATACATAAAATATTCAAACAGTTAGTTCTCTTTACAAATTTAAACATAGTAAGAATGAAAATATTTACAGATTAAAGAATATATTCATACTGTATTCCGTTGTTTTAGCTTTTCAATGATATACAAACTGATAAGTTTGATTAATTTAAAATGTAAACAGGATTTAATATTTAAAGAAATGTCTAGTAGTAAACAACAAATTGTTTGCAATGTAAATTATATTGAGAACAAACCGTTTAACAATTTTCTTTTCAAATTGTTGATAACAGTGGTCGTATTAGAATATTTTATAGAATTTTTGTTACATTACTTACTTACACATGTTACTCCCAATGGAACATAGGCCAACGAACAGCATTCTACAACACACTCTGTCCTGGGCCTTCCAGTCTAGTTGCCCCCAAATGCCCTGGTACGGCCGAGAGTGAGGAAAGTCCGCTCTCCCTCTCGAAATGCTCTCACATGGACACGCGTATATAGCCTCTGCCAGGGAAGTCCTACTCACTGCCCTCTCGTGACATTACTGTTGTTTAAGAAAATGAGAGGACGAAAAGCGAATGTCCGGCGCTTTAACCGGATCCCAAATCAATGGTGCACATGGGCTCTAGTATCCTGGAGGAACAAATGGCGTATGAACCAATCGTTGGTCACCGGCTACCATGGGACTTCATCTCCTTACGATGCTCTACTGCTTTGTGGATCAGATCTTCAGGTCGAAGGCTTCGGGTGTGGCCCCCTAAGAAAACCATCTGCTTCGGTTTGGGCACCCGAGCAGTATCACAGCCCTCACACAAATCAAATGAGATTTGTGTGGCGCATATGTATTTGGTGCCTCCTTGTACCAATATCTATGTGTTAAAATAAATAAATAAACTATCCAATGTTTGTTTATTTTTCTCATGTGTGTCTCTATTTCTCGA